GTTTATTTGGTTCGAAAGGAACAACCAATGTTTTAACAATCATAAGGCAGAGGAATGGGAAATCGCAGGGAAAGCGTTTGCATACTGGGAAGAATATCAAGACCATAACAAGCAGGGGTCAATCCAGGAAGAAGAGAGATGTCGCACCTGGAAAAAACCACCGGAGGGTTGGCTGAAGATGAACGTCGATGCGGCGGTGCTGGCTGGCCAAGGAACGAGATATGGAGCAGTGGTGCGGGATGCGGGGGGAAACTTCCGATTCGCAGCAATTAGAAGGGAGCGAGCACATGGTCGCCGGAGCTAGCGGAAGTCAGGGCGATCCAATTTGGTCTCCGTTTGAAGGAAATGTATGACCTCCAGCAACTGGTGGTAGAGACGGATTGTCAGAATGTGTATCTGTCGCACAAGAACAAGATAAGGTCAAGGACTGAATTGGGGCTGTTGATCGAAGAGACTGAAATGGAAGCTAATAGGGCCGGGTTGGTTGAGTGGAGTTTTGCAAGAAGGGACTGTAACAAAGCAGCCCACTTAATGGCCCATACTCAATGTCCTTGGGATACAGAGGAATTTTGGACTGAAAGGCCGCCTATTTTTCTTTGTTCTACTTTGGAACAGGATGCTTTGACTAATTAATAAATATTCAGGTTTTGATTGTAAAAAAAAAATAATAATAAATAAAGAGGCAATGGCGATAGGGAAGGGAGGGGGATGGAAGAAGGAATGTAAAACGACGATGGGAAAGGAAGGTTCTCTTCTCATTGTTTTTAATTATTTTTTTTCAATTGATTACAATAAATTAAAAAGGATTAATAGTATTTTATGTCCCTTTACTATTACTAGTTAACAAATGTACCCTTCTACTATTATTTCGCACAAATATATTCTTCTATTATTGTAACATAACAAATATAACCTTTTTTTGGTGATAAATAAATATAACCTTTCATCCCTCTTTCCTTAAAATGCTTGTAAAATGACTGAATTGCCCTTTTATTGGGATTTATATACAACCGATTTACATAGAAAGAGAAATAAATAAATAAATAAATAAGTAAATTTAATTTACTAATTTCATTATCCTCCCACCCATAAGGGAATGTACCCCCAACCCTCCATTGAAAGCGAAGCCCTTCCTGAGGAGGCGGAGACTCCCCTCAGATTGGGTCCGACGAAGGGCCTAGGAGCCTCGATTGTCGAGTTTGGGGATGTTTTGAGCAAGTCTATCCCGTCAGGGAGTGCAGGTAGTCGCCGCTGGGGATTTTTGTTTTTTTGTAAAGTAGTTCTTAGAGCGAAGGCAGAAGAGAGATCTAGCTTGGCGGGGTGACGCCCAGCCGTTGGTTCCGCCGTTGATCGCTTCGAGATAAAACCCAGATGGTGGAGCTAGTGGCGATGGGGATGGAGGGCTCCTCTTTGATTTTGGCGGTGTCGAGACGATGTCTCTTTATTTCTTCCGGGAAGGGAATAGGGAAGGAGGAGGTGGGAGCGAGTGAAGTGAAGGGTCAATATATTTATTTTTTTTTTTTTTTCCTTCCGAAAAATGAATTATTCGATAATTGATAATAAAGGGCACTATGGTAATTTAGTAACAGTTTAATGGTTATCTAACGAAAAAAGGGATAGAAGGCTATATTTGTTGCGTTACAATAGTAGAATGGTACATTTGTACGAAATAATAGTAGATGAGTATATTTGTTAACTTGAAATAGTTGAGGGGCATAAAATACTTTTAAGGGTAATGTCTATTTTTTATCCAAACATTTTTCAGATTCTTTTATATTATCCAAACATATCGAAATACTAAGAATTAGCCAAATGCTAACTTACAGTTAGCAATTATGTTAGTAATATTGACTTGGCAACATGATACTGACTTGGAAGAGACTCATGAAGGTCAACATTCCAAAATTTTAATATTATAACTAAGAAAAGAGTTACAAAATTATTAACAATAACGTAAAAATGGCTAATATTTTGATGCATTATGAAAGATTTGGATAATTAATATAGTTTTAATAGGTTTGGGTAATATAAAAGAATCTGAAAAAGATTTGGATAAATAATAGACATTATTCTACTTTTAACCCAATTAAAAATGACACATTTCCAACTGGGCAAAGTCATAGCCACATCATCAAAAGATGTTAGTCCAGTCAACATGTATCATTTTGGGGTTAAAATTATGGACGAAATAACTATTTTAGTGTATTTTTTAAAGAATTGATTATTATCGCAATACATAAATTATGACTATTCCAATATATTTTAATAATGAGTTTAGAGTCACGCATACCAAGATTAAACATGATATACCGACAAATATTATATCCACAACAATTCAGCCGAGATGGATAGGATTGGTGGAGATAATAGTAACGCAAAATTGAGCAAATTGGGCGGGTGGTTGCATAATAATCATAAATGCAGATAATGAAACGAACGCGGGCTGCTGGGAAAAGTAGGGGTGTTCAAACGGTTTGGTTACCATGGTAACCGTTTTAACCAATACTATTTGGATAATTTGGTTTGGTTAATTTGGATAATTGGTTTGGTTTGGTTAAAGTTTTTAACTTGTTTGGTTTAGGTGGTTTAGTTTGGTTTCAGACACTCCTAACCAGTCAAACCAAATTAACCAGTTAAGTAACTAGTCATATATCTAACATATATTATATACACATACTTAATACTTTGCATAACCACTCAAGAGCTAACGTTCATCCATTTTAGACTCATAAAATATAAAGCTCAATATTGCTCATATAGTGTATATTTGTATATGTAAAATGTAGACCACAACATATGGACGCATAATTTAGATTAATTTCATACATTATGATGGATGAAAACTTGAAAGAAAGGTCATTTCCAGCCTATGATAATTGCTAAGAGACTAAGTCAATTTACACAAACACAATAATTCATTAACCCATACCATTGTCATAAATTTTTGTTAGGTGAATACTTCTATACTAATCGTAAAATAATTGTCTTAGTTGCATGTATTTTTGTTAAGGGTCAACTATAACTACGTGTTGATTGTTATGTTTTATTCATTATATAAATTGCGAATTGTTGCATTAACCGGAAAATTTTCATCGTCAATGATAATGTGATTTTATATTGGTTAATCTGGTTAACCAATTAACCAAACCGAATAAACTTTAGTTTGGTTAATTTGGTTGTTGTATTAGTTTGGACGGTTTGGTTATAATATTGTATGGTTAATGAAATTTAGCCTTATTTGGTTTGGTTATAACCATGATAACCATTTAAACACCCCTAGGGAAAAGAGCAGGAAAGCACAAGATAAGAGCCCCAACCCAACAACGTCAATGGTCAGTTGGTCACAAAAGCATGAACAAAAACTCGTATTTCCCACGCTGTTGGGCTTTGACCGTCTGTCCGAGAAAATGGTAAACTATGAATCAGTCCTGTTTTCACTTTGATAACAAACTAGGTACTCAAATAATTTTTTTTTCGCATTTCAGTCCTATTCAATCGTTGTATGCTGGAAATTATACCTATAACCCTTATTATTTCCGATCCAACTTTTCTCGTGAAACTAATATGACAGGTTCCTATAAAAAAAGAAACTAATATGACTAGACAAATGAGATTTTACATTTCGATAAGATCCATCCTCACCTTCGTCATATTTCTTTTGAGGTAGCACTTAGGGGTGTTCAAATGGTGTGCTTAACCGGTAGTATTTGGATAATTTGGATAACGGTTTGGTTTTGTTAAATTTTTTAGCTTGTTTGGTTAGGTGGTTTGGTTTCAAACACTCCTATCCAATCAAACCAAATTAACCAGTTAAGTAATTAGCCATATATCTCATAAATATTACATATACATACTTAATACTTTGCATAACCACTCAAGTGTCAAACGTTTCTCTCTCTTAGGCTCATAAGAAATAAAGTTCAATATTGTTCCTATATTGTATATTTGTATTTGTAGAGTGTAGACCGCAACATATGAACTCATATTTTAGATAAAACTCATGCAATATGTCGGATAAAAACTTGAAAGGAATGTCTATTCCAGGCTATGATAATTGCTAAGAGAATAAGTCAATTTACAAAACACAACAATTCATTACCCTCATACCGTTGATATATATTTTTGTTACGTGAATACTTCTATTGATAGTAAGATAATTATATTAGTTACATGTATTTATGATAAGAGTTATATAACTATGTGTTGATAGTTATGTTTTATTCATTATATAAATTGCTAATTGATGCATTAATCGGAGATTTCCTCACTTAAGATAATGTGTTATATTGGTTAATCTAGTTAACCAATTAACCAAACTGAATAAACTTTAGATTGGTTAATTTGGTTGTTATATTAGTTTGGACGGGTTGGTTATGATATTGTATTCCATGGTTAATAGAATTTAGACTGATTTGGTCATTACCATAGTAACTATTTGAACACCCCTAGCCACTAGGATGGGTGGTTCAATTATTTCTCAATTGTAAAATATAAATATCTACTAGAATATATTTTTCAATAGTCCATGAGTCCACCAACCAATTAAATTAAATATAAATTGGCTAAATTACACATTTGGTCACTCGAATTACATAAACATTTCACGTTTGCCACCCAAATTAATTTTCTTTCAATTTAACCACTCACTTTACGAATCGTTTCACCGTTGGTCACCCTCCGTCAGTCTCCGTCAGACTCCGTTAACGCCGTCATATTTTTGATGACGTGGCAAACGGAAGTGCTGGCTGGGCTGACAGAGAGGCTAAAAAATACGGGTTTGACTGCCTAGTCAGCCACATACCCGACCCAGCAACTTAATTGACCCCTTTTTTGTATTTTATTTTTCTTTTCTTTTAAAACCCCAACGCGCAGGCCACATTTCACTCCCTCCTGAATCCTCGGCCACCACACACACTCCACAAATTGAACCCAAACAACAGAAAACCAGAGAGAGGCGAAGAAAGAGAGAAGAAGATCGAAGAAAAAAGAATTCAGAAGAAATGGGAAGAAGAAGCAGCAGCAGCAGCTTTCGGCGGAGCGGAATCCTCCTGATCTGCGCAATCCTGGCGGCGCACCTCGCCATATCCACATCGAAGGCCATCGACTTCCTCCCGGCCCTCAACTCCCCCGGCGCCGGATGCAACGGATCCATCGCCGAGTGTATGGCGGCGGGCAGTGTTGGAGACGACAACGGCGACGGCGAGGAGTTCGCGATGGAGTCGGAGTCAGAAAAGAAAAATAAAATACAAAAAAAGGGGTCAATTAAGTTGCTGGGTCGGGTATGTGGCTGACTAGGCAGTCAAACCCGTATTTTTAGCCTCTCTGTCAGCCCAGTCAGCACTTCCGTTTGCCACGTCATCAAAAATCTGACGGCGTTAACGGAGTCTGACGGAGACTGACGGAGGGTGACCAACGGTGAAACGATTCGTAAAGTGAGTGGTTAAATTGAAAGAAAATTAATTTGGGTGGCAAATGTGAAATGTTTATGTAATTCGAGTGACCAAATGTGTAATTTAGCCAATATAAATTAACTGGATTGGAATAATGGTTTTTTTAAAGAAGTTAGGGGCAAAAACATCAATAAAGGTTAAATTAATGAACCGGTCCATGAACAACTCAAATAATGGGTATGAATATGATTGAAAACAAGCTTACGACAACTCACAACTCTATCCCTACTGCTCGAAAAGAAAAATCATTTAACTAGCAACGTCCCACTTCCCTATGCGGGGAAAAAAATAAGACAAAAATAAGGAAGGAAAATGCAGGCTGCTCTTTCCTCCTGCACCGAAAATTCCAGCCACAGATCCTCCTTCCCTAATCTGTTTCTCGTCGGCTGAAATCCAATTCAACGCTCGCTCTCCCTCGCCGCCTCCGTCCGCGAGGTGATCGCCGCCGTTTCTTTGATTCATCTTCCATGGCCGCCAATTCTCAGCCCGCAGGTCCGATTTTCCCTTTTCTCAATTCTTCCATTTTTCTATCTTCTTCTTCTTCTTCTTCTTCTATTGTCCGTTCCGCCGATGAGTTTCATGTTCCCCGAACAATTGCTTCGCCGGCTTCATCCCCTCGCTCCTCGATTAATTTCTGATCGGATTTGAACCAGCCTTGCCTTGGGCTATTTAATTTCACAATTTGTGCTACTTGTTGCTTCCACGACGAAAAATTCCTGCTTGTGAACTTCGGTTTAGGATTTCTATTGTATTCGAGCTGGATTCCCTGGAATCGGTATCAGCTGGTTATACCTGAAGTTGAGATTTTAAAAATGTTGCTTTGATCATGGAAATTTTGCTTCTGCGGGTTTCAGTGAAATTACCTGTATTGTCTGAACGCAATTGCATCGTTCTATGTTCTGATTGGGATGTTGATGACCTTTTTCACTCTGGACGGAAACGTCCAAAGAGTTGAAGATCTAAATATTTACTTATGACTCTTGACTGTTCTTATGCTGTAGGCGGTGGAGCTCCTCCGAAACCTTGGGAGCGTGCGGGGCCATCATCGTCTGGTCCAGCACCTTTCAAACCTCCGTCAGCTGGGAGCAGCAGTGCTGTGGTTGAAGCATCTGGTACTGCAAAACCAGGTGAAATTGTTCCACCAGGCAATAACAATGCAGTGGCGAATACAAACCCCAACCAACGGCCTGTTCCAAACAGGCCGTGGCAGCCACAGACAACGCAGTATGGAGCAGGAGGTTTGTTTTTTTTTATGTCCTGGATATGCTCGCAAGCGTTCGAATTTTGTGTATATATGTACGCTTATGGTTGAGTTAAGTCTCGATTTGTTAGCTAACTTAGTTGGTTTAATTGGAAAATGCTATTTATTTTCATCTATCGTGCCATCTTTTACCGAGAAGAAAGTATGAGCTTCCTTAAAGAAAGTGGTTCTTGGGAAATAATCACAGAAACATGAAAATTCCATCACTAATCAGCGCAGGAACCTTCTTTGGTTGACTAATCAAGTTACTTACTTTGTTGCTACTATGCAAGATATGCTCACTAGTGTGCATTTTGTGTACACTTGATGCATATAATTAAGTTCTCTCTTGGCACCCTAGGTTGCTTGGCCGATTTAGTTGGAAAATGCTGTTGTATTTTGTCGTCTCTCCTCGTAGAGCTTTTCTAGGGGAAAGACAGATGAGTTTCTTCAGTAAAGTGGTTCGCAGGAAATAGTCATAGAATACCTAAAGTTCCATCAGAAACCATAGCAGGAATTGGTTGACTATTATCAATTTTCACTCTCATGGTGTATTTCTTTGATTGTCATCTATTTATATGTTTTGGTTCTTGCTTCATGTTAATTTCTTCATTTCAGGGTATGGTATGAGTAATTCATATGGAATGGGAGGTGGATACAGTAGCAGTTTGTATGGAAACAACATGTACAGAGGGGGATATGGTGGTTTAAGCGGTGGCGGAATGTATGGCGGTGGCGGAATGTACGGCGGTGGCGGGATGTATGGTGGTAGCGGGATGTATGGTGGTTATGGAAACCAAATGGGTGGTGGGTATGGAATGGATCCTTATGGTCAGCAGCAGAATCCTGACGATGTTCCTTCTCCTCCTGGATTCTGGATTTCTTTCCTCCGTGTGGTAAGCCAATTTGTTTTGGCTTTTTGTCCCAACTTATGTTTTGCAGACTAAATGATCCAGTTGGAGGGAAGAAAAATTTCACTTCCTATTAACCAACTAATCAATCAATCCTTTAATATCAAGGGTCAAGCACGTCCTTAACATAGAGATATTTAATATTTTGCATGGGAGTTGGTTGCTGACTGTTGAATTGCTAAAAGATTTCAGTGGTGCTGCTAACCTTCTCACGTCTCATCCTCCCTATACGATGACATGATCATATATACGATTTCATTGTTTAATGCACAAGGCACTAGTTTTCCCCCCGGTTTCTTACTGTTGCTCTTGGTCGAGGATAGCTTAAGCTGCTCCTTCCAGTAGGAGAAGGGCTTAGAAAGCTTTTGTTGACTTCTTGTTGTGGACATTTTTCTTCTGAGCGAAAATGTGTGGTGTCAAGTTTTTCTACTTAAATTGTTTTCGTGGGTGTTTGTAGATGGCAGGTGCTGTGAATTTCTTTGGACGAGTAGCAATGCTGATAGACCAGAATACTCAGGCATTCCACATGTTCATGAGCGCTCTTCTTCAGGTTTGTATTCGCTTTTTAGTTGTTTTCTTTCCATCCCTCTTGTTTCTGTTATCGATATTTGTAAATCAGCAGATGAAGCATTGACCGATGTCTCATTTCCACCCCCACTTGTTTTTTCATTTTCCCAGCTGTTTGATCGGTCTGGAATGTTATATGGCGAGCTAGCCAGATTTGTTCTGAGAATGCTCGGTGTGAGAACACCAAAAAAGGTCGACGGATCAGCACCTCAGGGGCAACAGAGGCAGCAGCAACAGAACCAGGGTCCTAAAGCCGGCGGAGGAGGATGGGACAATGTCTGGGGAGACGAGAACAGCAGCTAAGTACAAGGACTTGGTCAACTGTAACCCGTTTTCGACCATGGAAGAGAAATTTGAGCAAGAACAATGAAAGAGATGGGAAAAAAGGAGTCCGTTGGGCGTCATCATGGCTCAGTGAGTTCAGGCCTCGAATCCCTGGCACAGTGCAAACAGCGCTACTTACTACAATACAGTCGAATGTCTGCTTGATTGAAATAAAATAAACTAAACTCTAGTACATATGCATATTATGCATTCTCTATCTCTCTCGTTTATCATTGTGGCCTTTACCATCTGTGTGTGCTCTCTGAATAGGTAAGGGATTTCTCTAAGCATTGATATTTGTACTGTTGTGAAAATGTGTACCATCATCGAGTGATTTAAAGAAAACAAGAAGAGAAAGATTGGACTTTGGAGTGTATTACGTTGTTATTCTTAATTAAATCCGCCCCTTGAAGGCGATGTGCGTTTTTTAATGCATCAACTGGTTGATTGGTCAACAAATGAGCCAATTTTCAATCAAACCTGCAATGGAGGAACAGTTCTGAAATTGTCGCCCAACGCAGCAACGATGTCACTCCAAATAGCATCAGTCTTCTTTCTCACGGTACTTATTTTATGAAGCTCTCACAATCAGATGAAATGCCAAACAACCGCTTCCGAATTCTAGAAGGCGAGGAAAGGCTCGATGGGACGAGTTAGAAGTTAGTACCATGCTAACAACTTTCATCGCTGTTATTGTTTTTACGTTAAATATAATGATAGGTGTTGCGGGTACTGGTTGCTTGCAGAGTAAGTAACCGCCAATGTGTCCTTTCTCCTTTGTCGTTCTCAATTTTTCTTTGCATGTCTAGGCCGATGGTGTCCTTGTCCCATTTGGTTTTGTCCTTCTTTGTGTACTAGGGATTCAACCCTATATACTTGCTGAGCTGATCGTGTATTAATTTTGTTCAATTATGAATGAAGATACCACGTAAAATCTCGTGTCACTCGTATTTATTCAATTTTGCATTCTCAATTTCTAATGGTATCAGAGCAAATATCGTTTCATGTTAGGGTTTGATTCTTGTCTTCACTGCTAGTCACTTATCTTGAGCCCCTTTGCCATGTCCAACGAAGATGTCAACTTGACCACGCTTAGGAAGGGTTCTTCCTCGTCTGTCGAAATCATTGGTCTGAATTCTCCTTCGTTTCTTCACCCGTCCGATACCTCAAGTCAGATCTTTGTGGGTGAACCGCTAACTGACGCCAACTATGGAGAATGAGCTACTAAGATGTCGAATGCCCTCCTTGCCAAGAACAAACTCGGTATTGTCATCGGAACTGTTCCCAAACCTCCTTCGGGAGAACCGCTTGGGTAAGGTGTAACGCCATGTTCGTTGGTTGGCTTCGTTAAGCTGTGTCACGCGAGATATAGATGAGTCTTCGTTATAGTTTTACTTTGAAACAAATGTAGAATGAACTACTGAAGCGCTTTTGCATGGGCACTCTCCGACATCGATATAAACCATAGCTAGTATCGGATGCTTCGCAGTATAATAATTAGTAAAACGCCTAAAGGGAATTACACCTAATTGAGGAGCTAGGGGGACACATACATGAGTGACCTCTCTTGTATTTCATAACCGGAACAATTTACTTGATTTCTTTTTTGCTTAGTTTGCAAACAACCACTAAAACTTAATCGCTAGATAATAGAGAATTGACTGAGTAAACAGTACACCTATGACCTGGGTTGACAAATATAAATTAATTCACTTTATTGCAGTCCCTTCCACATGTTTTTAAATGAGTAACCCTACCCAGACCCTCCTTCGACGATAACTCTACTAGTAATCCTGTGAGCTTAATCCAAGTTTGAAAGACCAAGTCATCAATGACCAATGCTTGAATACCTGGAACCCAGCCTCTCAGACAGAACATGTTATCGTGATAGTGTCGTTGTACTCCTTCAAACACCCATCAGCAGATATCCACCAAAGGGAGCTGAAAGAAGACTAGTCGATCCTCTAATAAAAAAAACCTTCACCTCTCTTTTGTGCGCCACAACCAATTAGCCCAATAATGTATCATTGCAAGAGATAGTGGAGACATCGAAAACTGGCCAACCAAACTATTCTCTAATTTTTTCGCTTTTTCCTCAATGATTGATTTAGTAATACAAAGAGATCCATTAATGAGCTCAGACTCGTAGTATTCTAATATGTTATCTTCCGAAGCACCGTAAATGGAAGCACAAGTCCAACCGCCACCAATGGTGCTTGGTAAGGCCCCATCGCTGGTGCTACCATCGAGGTAAGAAGAGTAGTCGCTGAACCCTAGAGTGAACAAAAGACCGAGAATAGAAAGAGGGGGTCGGTTAGCATGCTAACCCCTAAGAGTGGTTTTTTGACACTCCCTTCCTTATTAGTCAATTTTTTTATTAATCATTTGACAAGTATTAATGAAAGTAGACATGATAAATGCAACTTGTAGAATTTAATACTCTTATTAAATTCAAATTAAGAATTAAATACAACACATTAATTACTTGCATTTTTTAAATCTAAACCTATACAAAATGCAATTCTCTCTCCTATCTCTAATCCTTCTCTCTCCTATCTTTGATCCTTCCTATTCCAGCAACCTCCGGCCGTCTCCTTCCCAAGCCCCTCCCCCGGTGAGTTTTCAATTTTCAGATCTGATTTTTCGATTTTCAAATCTGATTTTTGTATCACTGCACTTAAAGTCAAAATATGGTATTTGTACCAGTGCACTGGTAGCACTACCAATGCACTGGTAGCGATACCACTCCACTGGTACAAATGTCAGATTTAAGTATCAATGCAGTGGTACTACATATCAGGTGGTCGGAGAGATTCTGCCGGCAGGATTTCACCGGCGAAGTGTGGTGGTCGGAGGCTGCTGGGAAAGGAAAAATCAGAGATAAGAGAGAGAATTGTATTTTATATAGGTTTGGATTTTTTAAAAAAATAAATAATTAATGTGGTGTATTTAATTATTACTTTATATTTAATAAGAGAACATTTATTATGTTTACTTTCATTATTATTTGTCTATGATTAATGAAAAAGTTGACCAAAGGGTGTCAAAAAATCAACCTCTTTGATGATAGGCATGCTAACCGACGCATAGAAAGAGAGATAATCATCCATTTAACTATCAATTTAGTTACAGGTAAACCAATCTCAAATAATATTAGACAAATTATATTTTTTAAATATTTTTTCATTTATTTTTATTAATTATTAATTATTTTTGTTAATTATATGTATTTTTAATTTTTTAGAGAAAAGATTTGAACACATTTTATTTATTTATATAATAATAGAGGCTCCAGAATTTAAAAGCAGCCCGTTCATACCTCCGCCCTACCAGACAGTGCCGTATCAGCTTCTTCAACTTCAATAGCCATAGAGGTGTGTGCCTGTCTACACAACTCACACACCTGTCGTCATTGCATATGACATTTGGCACCATTTCACTAACCCACACATCCTCTCTAACTCTGATTGTGATGGCAAAATTGTTCGAAACCCCAAAACAAAAAGAGAAATTACAGAATAATGTCCAACACCAGAAAGAAAGAAGAAGAAGAAAAAAAAGAGGTTTAAACCTCAAATTTACTGTAATAATACGATAAGGTGACAGTATAAATACACATGGAATGGAACCACAGAAAAAAAAAGACGTGTGCTTTCATCAACTTTTTTTCTCGGTTCCTACAGCAAACATCTCCAATTCTCCATATTGTCTCACACCACTTTTTGCTGCAAGTTTTCTTCTGCTACTGCATTCGACAAGCTTCTAAGGAGGTAAGGTAAAGCCAAGCAAACTACTTTTGCCGTATCATTCTCCCTCTCTTTCATGTTCCAAAAAAAGCAGCTTCTTCACTGTTTTGCTTATTGGGTTCCGCACGCTACTGTTTCTGCAGGTTTGCGTTTGGTCATAGCTGTGGCAGTCCAAAAAAGCTTTGATCTTGGGCTCCATTAGTTCCAGGTCTATATTTCTGGTTCTTTCGTTCCCCTGTTCTTTCGTTTGGGTTTTGGTTTGTTTTGGATGCTTGGGCTGTGATTTGGTATATTAATGAGTCCTGCTGTTGCTTTAGCATTGTGTTTAACTATGGTGATCAGATCAGTTGTTGGGTTTGCTCTTTAATCCAGAGTTTCTAACCAATTTGTTCCAATTACTGGACCATTGGGATTGTAGGGATCTTACTTAATTATCTTCCTCTGTGTAAATTTCTCCCTAACAAAAGTCTGGCCATCATGCTTGAAGTTTGTACAAATCATTTCTACCATACTAAATCAACTGTTATTATCAACTTTGCCATGATCTGAACATGTTTGTCAAAGATCAGTCCGTTGCAGTGCCTCGAATTGTCGGAGAGTTAGAACGATGAATTTTGTCTCATTACAGGAATAATGCTTGTAAACTTGCTGTCTTTCTGGAATCTGATGATGAAGAGAAATGTTAATACCCATGTGGTTGATTTCTTAATTTTTACACTACTCTTCCTTTGGTTTGCATCTCTGACTGAAGTTCCGAATGCTCCCGTTTTAGGTGACCGTTGAATCAACACCAGAAGGGAGGCATTGTGTGATCATTCCAACGAAGATGGTAGATTCTGTTGTGGATAAACTAGCTCCAACTGATATCAGCTCATCATCATCAGCAGTGAAACTTTATGGAACATATGGAATTCTGGTCTCAACCGTTGCTGCCATACTCATCCCAATTCTACTATCTCTCATGGTCATGGCCAAGAAAAGGACCAAACAAAGAGGAGTGCAAGTACAAGTTGGTGGTGAGCCTGGGTATGCAGTCCGAAATGCTCGAATTCCAGAGTTGATTGAATCTCCATGGGAAGGAGCTGAAAACATGGCTGCTCTATTCGAGCAGTCTTGCCAGAAGTATGCGAAGCAGAAGTGTCTTGGAACCAGGAAGTTGGTTGAAAAGGAGTTCGTTACTGCTAGTGATGGAAGGAAGTTTGAGAAGGTTCACTTGGGAGACTATGAGTGGGAGAGCTATGGACAGGTTTTCGATCGCGTCTGCAATTTTGCTTCTGGGATGATTCGGTTGGGGCATGATGTTGGTAGCCGTGCTGCAATCTTTGCTGAGACCAGAGCTGAATGGTACATTGCATTTCAGGTACTATTTACTTAGGACCTTCTTCTAACATATTTAGTTATTGAGGTGACCTGGTTAACTTGAAATGTGAGATCTCTTCATTCTTTGTGTTTCAGGGATGCTTTCGCCAGAAGATAACTGTGGTCACTATTTATGCTTCTCTAGGTGAGGATGCGCTGATCCACTCGCTCAATGAGGTACCCAACGGACCTTTCTTCTCGACCTTTCTCTTATCACGAGTATCACTTCCATTTGTTTTAGCAACTCCTAAGACATTTTGGTTTTGGCAGACTGAGGTATCTACACTGATATGTGACTCAAAGCAACTGAAGAGGTTGGCAGCAATAAGTTCAAAACTAACTACCGTCACCAAAGTCATCTATTTTGAAGATGCTGGGAATACTGATGCTAACATGAGTTTAGATGTGGATAACTGGAAAGTTTCTTCCTTCTCTGAAGTTGAGAAACTGGGGCAAAATGAGCCTCTTACTCCGAGCTTTCCTTCCAAAGATGAGATTGCCGTTGTCATGTATACAAGTGGCAGCACTGGTTTACCCAAGGTCTGTTTATCCACAATAGCAGCAGTGTGAATTACTTCAGTGAATGGTCTGTGATGGAGAACCAAAACAATTCAAATTATAATTATAATAATCAGATCGTGCCTGATTTCCATTTCAATCTGGTTTCAGTTCAATTTGGCCTGGCTTGGACCAGTAATTGCCCACCCCCTACCTTTCAAACTCTTAACATATTCTTTCCAAAAAAGAATCGAACTTATGCTTCTTGTAGTTGAAGTCTTTCCATACTTTTTCACAATTCCCTAATAGCAGTCTCTCAACCTTCTGAAATTCCTAGGGGGTGATGATCAGTCATGGCAACATTGTGGCCACAGTTGCAGCTGTTATGACAGTGATCCCAAACCTTGGGAGCAATGATGTGTACCTAGCTTACTTGCCACTAGCTCATGTTCTTGAGCTTGCAGCTGAGGTAGATGATTCTTTCAGTCTGCAGCTCCTTTCCTTTTTTCTTTTCAATGTTTGCATTCAAGTCAAATTTCTTTTGGTGTGGTTTTGGGCAGTCTGTAATGCTGGCAGCTGGCTGTGGAATTGGATACGGGTCAGCATTGACCTTAACAGACACTTCAAACAAGATCAAGAAGGGAACTCCAGGGGATGTTACTGCCCTTAAGCCGACTCTCATGGTCGCTGTTCCTGCTATATTGGACCGTATTAGAGAAGGCGTGCTGAAAAGGGTAGGGTTTTATGTTTTATTTGGAAGGTAACTTTAAGTGGAAGAAAGTGAAGGTGTTAAAGGTGTAGCCGTGTAGGTAGTTTTTAGTTTGCTGAACATAATCCAATTCAAGACGGAAAGTGTAAAGTACGTGATCGTTTTAGATGATGGATTCTATGGATGAATTGTTGCTTGAAACCCATAAGTTGATAGATACAAAAAATGTATCATTTCAAGTTTGATTTCACCAGAAAAGAAGATATTCTTGGATATTAAAATGGTGAACCTGTTTGGTATGATGAACTGCTTTTTTCCTTTCAGGTAGAGGGGAAAGGAGGTTTGGCAAAGAAGCTTTTCCACATTGGATACAAAAGACGGCTGGCAGCCGTAGAAGGAAGCTGGTTTGGTGCATGGGGACTTGAGCGGATGCTTTGGGAAGCCATTGTTTTCAAACCAATACAAGCTTCGCTTGGGGGACGTCTTAGATTCATGCTTTGTGGTGGAGCTCCTTTGTCTGCAGATTCACAGAGGTTCATCAATGTATGCATGGGGTAATGAGTTTTCTGTCACCTTTTTTTCATAAGAGCTTAGAGACTGGCTGGCTGGCGTTCAAGTTAAAATGCTTTCCAGATACAACTAAAGTTTTATCTAAAGTCCACCATGCTCACACAATGGTCTCCTTTAGGGCTCCCATTGGGCAAGCATATGGTTTGACAGAAACTTCCGCTGGAGCTGCATTTTCCGAATGGGACGACACTTCAGTAGGTCGCGTTGGACCGCCTGTTCCTTGTGCCTACATCAAGGTTTGGACTACAGTTTTGTCAGCAGATCGTGGTCATGTATCAACAATGTGTAAGCTCTTTTGAGAATAGTCTTCGAAGTGATGTGCTTTTTTGGTATCTGCAGCTTGTTTCATGGGAAGAAGGAGGCTATACAATAGCAGACAAACCGATGCCAAGGGGAGAGATAGTAGTTGGGGGAAACAGTGTAACTGCCGGTTATTTCAACAACAAAGAAAAGACTGATGAGGTTTACAAGGTAAAACCCTAAACCGAAATATCGATTGCTCATCCTTTCGTGGAAAGTTCCCCTCCAAACAGCAGAAGCGAAAAACTAACTTGGTTTATTTCTTCTTCTTTCAATGCCGTCAGACCGACGAGAGTGGAATTCGCTGGTTTTTCACAGGTGACATAGGGCAATTTCATCCTGATGGATGCCTCGAGATCATAGATAGGAAGAAGGACATTGTTAAGCTTCAACATGGAGAGTATATCTCACTTGGAAAGGTTTGGGAGCAGAGATATCTTTATCTGTTTATTGGCACAAAAGCAAGGATATAGTGTTGTTATTTGGCTCATATTGCATGGTTGCTTATCCTCTGATTGCAGGTTGAAGCAGCTCTATTGACAAGCAACTATGTAGACAACATCATGGTGCATGCAGATCCACTGCAGAGCTATAGTGTAGCTCTGATCGTTCCATCACGACAAGTGCTGGAGAAATGGGCTCAAGAGGCAGGAATCGACCATCAGGACTTCGCTCAACTGTGTCAGAGAAATGAAGCTGTTGATGAAGTTCAGAAGCAACTTTCCAAGGTTGGTTTGCTTCTTTATTTTCTTCTTTTTTCCTTTCACTTAGGGAGGCTGGTAGGCATAAATTTGGCTATGCAGGTAGCAAAAGCTGCAAAGTTGGACAAGTTTGAAACTCCAGCAAAGGTGAAGCTACTCCCGGAACCATGGACACCAGAGTCGGGATTAGTGACTGCAGCTCTCAAGATAAAGAGGGAGCAGCTGAAGTCTAAGTTTAAAGATGATCTCCAGAAGCTCTATAATTGAATCGACTGGCTGCTTCAACTGTTATATTTGATAGCAACTACTTGAGGGTTCTTGCAACCTTATCTAGATCTTCTACAGATGTCTGTTTTTGGTGCTTTTGAGTTCTGAGAAGAAATGTTTCATGTGAAACCATTATGCAACACTTTTGGCTTTCATAGATTCTGATGACCTAAATTAAATGGCTCGAAAAGCAATTTTCAAGGCAGTACATGTGTTCATATCTCCCTGCCTTATGGTTTGAATTTCTAACCTCTATACAATCAGACATCTATCTCGGAATTACAACTTCAGCCATCAGGAAGTCGACACTTGTCCTCCCTAAAGCAAGAAGTTGCTCAGCTCGATTCGAGACGGGTAGCCAAAAGCTTGATAGATTCTTCCTTGAGCCATATCTGAAATTGCTTTCACAGCTGTGTCGAGAATTGATTTGAATGCAGAGAAGCAAAGCTTGAAATTTGGATGTCTACTCTGGCTCTGAACGGGCTGCAAGTTCTGATAATGATGGCCGTAGGACCAAATATAAAGCTGGACCCAGGAATGGAATCAACGATAAAGGAAGGAGCCAAGCACCTTTATCAAACCTGTCGAGAAACAATCATGAAATCTGATTTCATGATAATAAAGAACTTGCTCTAAAGATTTCAAAGCAGAAATGAACCTCACCATTTTCGAGCAGTCATATCATTGTAAACCCAGAAAGGAGCGAACAAAGACAGCAGAGAGAAATCGAGGGATGTGATGTGAATCTGCAGTAAATACGCGAGGGAAGCATCCAATATAGCAGGACAAAGAACGAGGCTATTAGATCTTTGGTTCACCAATGGCACATGGTGAAGCGAAGAAGAGAAAGATAAATCTAACAGGAGTTGCTTACAAATTTGCTCTCCCTGAAGTACTGGAAAAATTCGCCCCAGTCATCAATTGAAATTCCTGCACGGATAAACAGGCCTAGTCCGGCAGCGAGCAAAACCTGTTGTGATAGAAGACTCAAGCATCCATTCCAAAAAATGACTCACCAGGAAAAATGGTACAAGGAACAATAGAAAGGAAGGAGCAAATACTCGTGAACAAGACAACAATCCATAGAAGAGTCGACTTCTAGAAACGGAAAAGTTCCACAAAAAGGAAACAAGATACATATTGACACCACTGCAATTGAAGGTAATAAACTATGACTCTTCAAGTGGCCCGACGGGCATAAGTTCAATAGCAAGGGGAACGAAATCAAAGAATCAAGGACGAAAACTTACAACCGCAGTCAACTTTGAGTCCATAACATTCAAAGGCCATCTCTTGAGCTCACTTTCTTCAACAGAAGGTGGAGGAGGGTTCCAGAGAACGAAATACGGCATAAGGGCATAAGCACCACCGAAGCAAGAAAGTACAAGGAAAGGCCACACTGGAATCTTGCTCTTTGAGCTGCCAAATTGCCACAAATGGGACTCACAATCTCTCTGAAAATCAGAAACCAAAAGCCTTACAGAAGGGAGAGCTTGGGATTTTTACCTTCTTCCAGTTGGAAGGAGAAGCATGCTATAAGCTAAAGGCCACAAACCCATGATGTACCATAAGGAAACAAGAAACTCATTCATCCTAAACCCATCATCTCCTTTCAAATTGCACAGCTTCAGCAAGAAATACATATCTCTCGACTGCAGAAGAAAGGGTGAACCTGTCTCGTTATATCAGTCATAATGATAATAGAGCAAATACTGCCCCAAAATGACAAAACCCATTGAATTGAGTATAGAGGAACATTAAAATGCCTCGAATACTTACCGGAGTCTGGTCAGGAGTGAGATTGAAGACATAGTACAAAATTCCACCCCAGAACACAAACAGCAAAATTGAGCTAGTCCAATCCCTACTCTCTCTGGCGCCGACATCCTTGCTTTCCTTCAAGCCCTCCTGCTCTTTCTCTGGATCATCCGGCGATTTCAGAACGCTGCGGCATATTTGGATGGAACCCTTCCTCTGAATTGGGAAATTCTCGTTGTGTTTGAGTAAAAATGGCTGGTTGAAACCTGCTTTAGGAAGTAAACGCGGCAACTTTGGATGATGGAGAGATTGGGTTTGGCGCGAAGAAGAACTCCTAGGTCTCAGATCAAAGGACTGAGAGGAGAAGTTGCAGGAGATGAGATGGAGATTCGCCAGCATTTTCGAAGCGGAGACCCTTGGTCAGATTTTTGTAGCGGGAGCAGTTGAAAGCTTTAAAATGGCGAAGCAAAAAGCTACTGAATACTATAACGCCACGTTTGGCAGTGGCTATGGCATAGGAATAGGACTGATAGAAGAGTCTCGGCTTAGCGCAAGTCTCCCAACGACGGCGTTTTTGAGGACAGATGTGCTTTCTTTCACGGAGGAAGATATCCAGCAAGTTCTCTGCTAAGGGATAAGATGATCAGTACACGTTCAGTCCGCTCTCCGTTTCTCTTTCCCGCCTCCAGAAAGTAAAAACCTCTCCAGACTCCAGCCATGGCCGAAGCTGCGCGGGTCTTCCACACGACTACATTCGTCCCTTCATTCAATTCACTGCACAAAACCCAGAAACCCAAGCCCTCGTTTGTCTCCCGAAGCACCGTACGCCGGAAGTTCCAGTCTTTACGCTGTTCGTCGTCGCTGGAAAGCGCGACCACAGCGATGACGACGAATAATCAGGAGGTACGATGGGGATGCGACATCGATTCTCCGGAAAACGCTCTAGCTCTGCAGAAATGGCTTTCAGATTGCGGGTTGCCTCCTCAGAAGATGGGAATTGAGAAAGTGGAAGTTGGGGAGAGGGGGTTGGTAGCTTTGAAGAACATTAGGAAAGGGGAGAAGTTGCTCTTCGTGCCTCCTTCTCTCTTCATCACCGCCGATTCAGTGAGTCAGTTTCTCCTTTGCTTTGTTTTTTTTTCTTTTCTTTTGGTTTCTTGGGCTGATTTCAATTGGAAGCAGAATTTCATGTCAAGTTTTTCCTTCCCATGAACTAGCAATGGAGCTGCCAAGAGGCAGGTGAGATTATGAAGAAATACTCAGTGCCAGATTGGCCATTGATAGCAACTTATCTGATTAGCGAGGCAAGCCTTGAGAAATCATCGAAATGGAGCAATTACATTGCTGCTTTACCTCGCCAGCCTTATTCTCTCTTGTACTGGTAAGTACGTCCTTTTGGGTTTGAAGAGATTTTATTTCTTAATAAAGAAAAGAAGGTTCATTATCTCAGTTTCTTCTTCTGCCTACAGCATCTATGTGTCGTTTTCAGGACTCGTGCAGAACTAGATAGGTATCTTGAAGCATCACAGATCAGAGAGCGGGCGATTGAGAGGATTAACAATGTCATTGGAACGTAAGCTTTTTTTGCCTTTTGTTAGCCTTGTTTATGGTTCTGTTTTAAGTTCTTCTACCATGTTATTTTTTAACTGCAACAGATTTTGTTCCTTTTGCAGGTATGATGATTTGAGGCTTAGGATATTCTCCAAGCATCCTCAGCTCTTTCCTGAAGAGGTAATTTCTTACATTTCAGGTCTGCATATGGAATGTGTACTGGTCTAGGTTTATGTAAATGGAAATGGTTTATAGAGATGTTCAAGTTCCTTTCTCTCTGGAGGTGTCAAATGCTGGGTTTTGATAGGGTTCAAGTTGGTTTAATCAGGTTACAAGTCAATGGGGTTGTTGGTCAATTGGGTAATGTGTTGATTGCTCATATGCATGATTTGCAGGTATTCAACATTGAGTCCTTCAAATGGTCATTTGGCATACTCTTCTCTCGCTTGGTTCGTTTGCCGTCAATGGATGGAAGAGTAGCCCTGGTTCCCTGGGCTGACATGTTGAATCATAGTTGTGAGGTATAAGTTGCTTACTTTGCTTACAAGTTTGTTTAAATTCAATGGCCAACTTTGCATGACCTTTTGTTATATAGGTAGAGACATTTCTGGATTATGATAGATCATCACAAGGAGTGGTATTTACAACTGATAGAACATATCAGCCAGGTGAGCAGGTAATGCAGATTTTTGTATCAAAACTTTCCCTTCAAAAATTTGGTTAAAGATCCCTACTTTAGCATTCATTTGGGAACATTAATTGCAGGTGTTCATATCGTATGGGAAGAAATCTAATGGAGAGCTGTTGCTCTCTTATGGATTCGTTCCAAGGGAAGGTACTAATCCCAGTGACTCGGTGGAATTGCCTTTCTCACTAAAAAAGTCTGACAAATGCTACAAGGAGAAGCTAGAAGCTTTGAGGAAGCATGGTTTGTCTGGGTGAGTACTGAATCACATATTTTCATTCCCCTTTCTCAAATGAGCAGGTTACATCGGGTTCATTTGGGTTTAGTATGGTCATGGACAATTGGATTTTGGGTTAATAGAGTTACAAGTCATTCTGTTTGTGGTTAATCAGATCGTGGGTTGATTGGTCCACTGGTTACCGCATCGCCTTTTTTATCAACTGGGGTTGTCGAGCGAGTTGGGTTAGAGCAGGTTGATCTGCTTGGAAAATATTTTGAATATTCTAGATATGAGAAGTATTAGATAGATGGCGAGTTGGGTTAACTTCAGGTTTGGTTTAATGATTGTGAGTCAATCTGGTGACAGTTCAATCTGCGTCAATTGGATTGAGAGTCAATTGGTTTACAGGTCAAGCAGGTTACGGGCGATGACATTTTGGCCAACTCGATTGAGAGTGTATTGGACAGTTTATCTTGTCGGACCAGATTTTAACAGTTAACATCCCTTTTGGTTTAACTTTTACTCAGCCGTGATCATTTAAGAAGAATGTAGACTTCTAACACTTGCTTGTCAACAAACAGGTCACATTGCTTTCCCATCCGTGTCACTGGCTGGCCACAGGAGTTGATTGCATATGCTTACTTAGCAGTCAGCCCTCCGGGCATGATCGGACAGTTTGAAGAGGTTTTTACCATTTTGGTCTTTCTTCACTTCTGCAAGCTGATTCCTCTACTAGTTTATCCTGACCAGTTAGCATTTGTCAGATTGCAGCTGCTGCATCAAACAAGACAGCCATGAAGAAAGATAAACCATATCCCGAAATTGAAGAACAGGCACTGCAGTTCATATTGGATAGTTGTGAGTCAAGCATATCAAAATACACCAAATTCTTACAGGTAAGAAAGATTTTGATGGCAACAACTTTCTCTACTATATTTAACTGAACTTCTTGCTCTCAAAACCTATGTCCATTTTGGGTCAGGCTAGTGGATCAATGGATTTGGATGTGACATCTCCAAAGCAAATTAACAGAAGGTTGTTCTTGAAGCAGCTCGCTGTAGACTTGTGCAACAGTGAACGAAGGATATTGTACCGAGCTCAAGCTGTGAGTCTCCTGAATATGGCTTATGTTTTTTTTCCATTAATTATTCTCTTGACTTCGTTCTGATTGATGGCGCGTAATTGCGAATTGGGATGAGAACAGGTATTGAGAAGAAGGTTGAGAGACATGAGGAGTGGGGAACTGAAAGCTCTGAATCTCTTTGATGGGCTCAGAAACCTCTTCAAATGAAGTGGTGTTTGCCCCATTCCCCTACTTGTGCAGCAAATTATAGGACAAATGATTTCTTCAGCCAAAAGGGTTTCAGCTTAAAGGAAGAAATCAGACGCGAAGGGCTGCTAAATTCTGGCTCCGGCAGCTGTTCCTTAGTTCCCTCTGTTTCAGGAGTTTGTAATACAACCAACCCTTTCCTGTGTAAATTTGAATTTTCCTACATGTGGGGAAGCAAGATTGATCACCAAGTCAAAATTCAAAACTAAATAATAGAATTTCCTTTCGTGTGCGCGTCGCGCGATGTACTAAAATGATCACGACGAATGGCCTGTTCTCACTTCTCAGTGGCAGAGGGAATTTTATTATGCTCTCTCCTATGACTTTTTAACCCGCGGTTGACCCGGACCCGGTCGAACTAGTGGGTCAATCGTTTTAGCTCGGTTTGGCTCGGAAATATGGAAAGAGTCATTATATTGTACTTATCCTCATAAATTATATAAAATCTTATCTAACATATGAGTTATAACATATAATATTACACAAATATAACATATCGTACTTAGATCCAACATATAGTGAAAATTCACACACACTTATATAACATCAATATTCAAATGTTCAACTTAGGATTCCAAAGATTGAGTTAGGCGAAAAGAAATTCGAAAAATAGGCGCATTTCGCAAACCAAAGAAAAAAATGACACAATTTGACCTCCAACCTGGTACCTTGTAGCGGTCGACCTGGCGGATGCATGCGGCCCGTTTTTCTCACCGGGTCAAGGTCAAATTGGGTCGACCCGCGGGTTGACAACCTTTCGTGGTCCCTTTTTTTTATTATTTTGACTAGTCCTCTTTTCCCCCCTCATTTTACCTCGTTTATACCATGCTTTAAATTATAATAGAAGTGCTCCCACATATCACCGTGGTATAGGGAGGTAACTGGTGGTAGGAATGGTCTAGTTAAATTGGACTAGTTTGATAACCATTTCAATATGTTGAACCAAAGGAGGAGTTTCAAGAGGAGTCACCTATAAGAAATGTTGATGACTAGCCAACATGGATTCCAGCTTACAAAAAGAGCAAGATGCCCTCATCATCCAAGAGATCGTGGAGGAGTTCATCAAAGAAGAAATACCATCTATCCCAATGGATGAAACTTCAAACCACACCCATCAAGAGTTCAACTCGAGTTGGCAGAAGAAAATTGATGATGACCCATCACTTCGATTTTGGAGAAGAAGGAACATTTACATCACCCTCTACAACAATGAGAAAGAGCAAGGAGTAGCAGTCCTACCTTAGCTTACCAGTTTGCATAGCGGGAGCAAGAGAGCGAAAGCATTGATTCTTTGAGAAATTATTATTCAGAGCGTGAAAAAAGCGTCAATAATAATATTATTTCTAATGAAATATTTTATAAAATTTTAAAACTTATTATAACAAGTAATTAAGTGTTTGATAATATTGCAAGAAATAAAGTTGATGTCTTCTCTAATGCGATTTGTTGTTATTAAAAGACTTATTATCACTTTTTCTTTTGGATATGCTTAAGAACAAATATATTAAATAGAAACCAACGAAAAGTAAATATTGAAAGAAAGAAAACCACACTTTGTTTAATGCCTCGTTTGATTAATGGATAACGGTTAGAGTGCCCGTAGCACTCTCTTTTGCACAAAAAAAAAACCACACTTTGTGTTTGGATCTAGTACACTAGATTGTATTTGTTTCAGCTGGGCTAAGTTTTATTGGACTGTCACAAATTAATAAAATTGTCCCTTTTAATTTAGAGAGGTACAAAAGAAACAACCTAAATGAGACAAACCATAACCAAGCAGCAGAGCAGCCACGCGAGAATCATCAGCCGCCGGTGAATTTCAAGAGCCGGATTTTCCTTTCTCCGGCGACCATAGCAAATTAAGGATTAGGGCGCGTGTTGGGGCGACCGTTTTAGATGGTGGGGTAATATTGTCTTTTTGGTTAATTTAGGGCGAAAAACTTAAAAAGTTAGGGCGTTAAATAGGAATCCAGTTAATTTATTCTACTCTTCCACTCTTTCGTGTCCTCCGTCTCCTCCTTTTATCCTTCTTTCTTCCCTCTTCTACAAATCCAAAACCCTAAGTTCATTTCCAGAGACAAATGGGTTTGGAGTTAGGTTCTTTTACTACCACTTTCACTGCTCCCAATCTATTATAATCAACTTTAAGTTTCTACCTTTCTCGCTACCAATTCATTTCCTTTTGCATGCACTTCGATCTCAGCGATAATGTCGCCAATCAATGGGACATCACCACAAGTTTGACGAAGAGTTGGTTTCTTCATTCCTTGGCCTATTTCATTTGATGTATTTCATGACCTAAAAGGTAAAGAAAGGCTTGGATGGTTAACGGTCAATCGGAGGTCAAACAAGCTCAATGGACACGCTGGAAGATTCGCACGGTTGTGCACATATTTGCATGGTCGTGCAAGGTTTCCAGAGAGTTTGCACGGCCAGAAGACCAATTTGCATGATTGTGCAAATAGGGGGTGCAAATTTCAGCTTTGGGTATAAAGGCTATTTTGCGATTTTTGGGCAGGGGAGTTGGGTTTTTGTTCACAAACACCCAATGGACGAACCAAAGATAGAGGTAGATTTGATGGCAATCTTGGCGTGGAATTAGAGAGTTTCTTTGCCTTGGAAACTCGAGGAACAAGCCCAGACATGAAGATTGAAGATATGAAAAGTTATATTGTCTTCTCTCTCTTCTCTATGAAGTAACTTCCCTTCACTTATGTTTTGATGAACCCTAGATTTGTATGCTAGGAAGAGTTGTATGAACTCGAATTCATGATTGATTGACATTTTATATTCAGTTGGGGTTTTTATCCAGAATTGCTTGAATCTTGATCACATTCCAGCATTTTAGCTTTGACCTAGAACGATTATATATGCATAGGTTAGTGGAGCAACCTAAATTGGTAGTAGTGAGTTGATTCTGCGAGATTCAATCGATTAACTACTTTGTACTGGCGTAAAAACCCAGTAGAGGAAGTTGAATCTTACTGCCTTGGTTAGGTTATTCCAATGGAGTTTAGTCGCTGCTGGGTAATCTATTCAAGAGGGTCTGGAACACTTTAGTCTAGACTCCAGACTGTTTGAGAACTTTTCGTAGTGTAAATGTTAGCTGAATTGAATTAGGCGAATTACAACTTGGCCTAACTGCAATCTCAGGGGAATCATACCTAAGTGAGTTTCTAACCTGTAATTAGTAGTCTAACCTCAAGAGGAAAATGATGGAAGCACCTATTCTCACATCACTAAATTGGTTATTAGACTTTGAATTAATGCGTGATGCCAATGACTATGAAGTATGAGCAGTGCTAGGACAAAGATAGGAGAGCCGATTTCACCCTACTAAATATGCAAGAAGAACACTCAATGAAGCCCATAGAAATTATACCACTACAAAGAAAGAGCTCTAAGCAGTTATAATCGCGCTTTAAAACTTAAAAACTTACGTTTATACGTTTCTTGGTCACCAAAATGCTTCTACACAAAATCGCAGTTTTTATAACTAATGTAGTAAAAAACGCGCTTTAAAGCTTAAAAAATTACGGTTTTAAGCTTCTAAATCCCAAAACGCTTCTACGTAGAAACTCGCTTTTGACTACATTGATTATGAAGGATGTGATAGTCAATGAGATATAATGACCATTTGTTGTATCTTCTGTAAATGCAAAAATTACCTATCAAGACATGGTTGAATCTTAAGAAATTTGTCATACTATGTTCAAAAATAGAGTGTGGGGTAAGCCCAACATGTGAGACATCTTTTCATTCCACAAAATAGGATTTTGGAAGAGATACTAGTAGTTGTTAGTGACGATGGGAGAGATAAATAAATTGTTGTTGCTCGACCAATAAAGGTCTAAATTAAACTCACCCATTCACACCATTACACTCTGCAAATTACAGGTTAGTCACCAGCCGCTTTACAACATTCAAACTACACTCCCAGTTACTAAGAAGAGAATGGGAGTTTGGAATTCCCTACTGCAGAATGCGGATGTGAAAGCAATGTTTTGCTTTGCCATGGTAGTTAGTCTGGGTATATGTGGGTATAGTTTTGGATTTTGAATTAATTGTTCCCTTAACAGATTGATTGAAAATTATTAAGGGAGGCGGATTATGAAGAAATTAAGTTCATTTTTTATCCGAATCTTCCTCTTCAGTTGATTTCTGAATATGCTCATCCCTGTTTCTTCTTTACTTTTTTGCAATTTTGTGGCGAAGGAACCATGTTTCCTGCCTGTAAATCTAAATTATGACTTAAGTTAGGAGTTCGAGACCAGTGTCTTAGAAAAAGCCTTTCATACGCCCAAAACAGATGTTCTTCTTCCCTGCCTAAATGTTTATATCAGGTAATTTATCACTTCAATCTCAAGTAATTCCCATATATCGTCTCTTTGGTTCTGATTTGAAACCAATACACTGTTGAACTATAGCTGCCCTAATGTAACAGATTCGAAGTTAGAGTAAAAATCGATGGCGATGAATCCCGAAGAGTTGGAAGAGTGGAAAAGTGATAGGAGTCAGCAGTTCAAGCAGTATTGTAATGTCCTCATCAAACTCCCAAGCAAGGCAAGCACCAGTACGAATTGATAGTTCCATAAATGATTTTCTTGATGGTTGATGTATAATTGTGATACATTGTTAAATCATCTGAACGTTTTGAAAGCTTTGTGATCAAATTCATCACTGTACTTTGATATATAGTAATCCAAATTAATTCTTTTGGGGGTTTATTTGTTGAATTCCTTCAACCACGTTACCCACATTGTGTTTACTATTTGTTTTCTACAGGTTATAGTCTTTGATCACTTAAATGAGCACTTCTATTATGCTATATAGCATTGGTGCTTTAATGTACACCTTAAATTTGTACCATAATATTAAATGTATAAGTTTAGGTTGTACCATAAAGCAATTTGTACCATTATGTTATGATACAACTTTACAACTTGAAGTTGTACCATCACATAAAGGTACAAGTTCAAGTTGTACTATAAAAGAATTTGTACAAAAAGTAGAGGTACAATCTGAAGTTGTACCATAACGTGAATGTACAATTTTTAAGTTGTACCATAGAAGCAAAAACCAATAGCACCAATACTATATAGCATTGTAAAATTTATCCACTTAAATGCAAATTATGCAATTAGATTTCGCACTCATGAGGAGATAATTTCTTTGTTTATAAGCTAGCATGGGTGCCAACCATACAATGCATCCACATATGTTTAAGAACTTTAATGACAAATGCCATATTTTCACAGGACAATGAAACAGAGATTGAAGATACAATCAACATGAACATCTCCGCAACCAGATCTATATCGAGTGAGGCTATTGCTACATCACCATTGCTAACGACTGTGAAAAAGAAACTATAACTTGCATTCAAGACAACAATGCAATGGTACAACTCAAGCTAACAATGGAAGCACCAAGTACCAAGCCGTGAAAAGTACTTTAGTCCTCGTATGTAGGTTGACCTGAGTATCTGACTCAAAGAGTTGCAATAAAATGCTTACATGACCCCCACGCAATGCATTATATTTGAGCAAATCGACGTCCCGGCCAAGGGCCGAGCACAGAGCTAGTAATCACTTAAATCACATACTAAGTAAATTAAAGTGAACCGTTAACTTGTTCTCCTTGAACCAACAAACCTTCCTAGTCATACTCTTGTGTCATGCCATCGTTGTTTGAATTCAAAGCCAGTAACCTCAACTTTCACATCTTTTGCTTTTAGTGACAATTCTCTCTTCACACGTCTTATCGTCATCGACAAGTATTCCTCGCATGAGACAATTATCCCATACTACCAGATCCCCGATTTCACTCTCTGTCGTCATCTTTGTGAAGTGGTTGGTCTCTGTCCATCTCGCATTCTATCTCGAGACTGTCCTGTCCGTCTATGGGCTGCGGCATTAGGTCCAGTCAATCCCGGCGGCCGTATTCTATTCGGCTAGTCATCGACATTGGACCGGGCGGGCGTTTCTCGGACGGACTGCTACCTCTCCGCCTTTAATATAATTTACCACCCAATTAATCCTTCATCTGTCGTCCGTTGAAGCAATCATTTTTTTTATCAACGGTGGAAATTGGTGCGGTGTGGTTACCCAATCCAAAATTTGTGGGTAATGATTATGCTATCTACGACACCGCACCACAGTGGTTAGTGATTACCTACTACTACTATCCACTGCAGGTTGGAGCGGTTAAATTGTGGTTACATGCAAAATTTTATCTTTTAATATGCGAAGCGTTGTGGTCCTCCCACAATGAATTATTTACTATTTACTGGACTATAGAGATGTAACGTTGTGTTGTTTGTGGATATAAAAAGTATTTGATATTCGAATTATGCATCAAAGAGAAGAAAGAGAGGAAAGTCTAGCTAATGCAAATTAATCTCACACGCTATAAGCTTTCACCATGTCAAAGAGCTATTTTAGTCTTTACGACATTAGTTTTTGCTCCTTGCATTATAAAATATTAATAATAAATATGAAATTAAAGGTAAAACAAAATGTTGTTAGTCTAATGTAGTTATAGTGGATTTTGTGATTTAATTGTTGTGGTTAGAAGTCGGTCAAACACAAATTCATTAGTCTAAAGTGGTTATTGTCAATTTTGTGGATAAACTGCTGTCAATAACCACACCCAACCCACTGGAGACAACTTATGAATGAAGTTAACTACAAAATGTATGGGTTGATATAATTTACGAGTTATCCACATGGTTCAAAAATGCATGCTTATCCTTACGCTTAGACACGCCTAGGCGCAAGGCAATGGCAAAACGCCTCGTCTAAAGATTTCCCGTCTAGTTCGATACTGGAACACGTCAATGGAGTAAGGCGACATCTACGTCTCTCCTAAACATAATTTGATGGAGCTAGGAAGTCAATATTATATGAGGAAATTAACGTCAACTACGAAATCAAATTTTTATATCAATATTTTCAATAGCTGAAGAACTTTGTGAGCTATGTTCTTGTCATTAAATGTTGAGTAAGTTATTAATTATTTTAATTGAAGTGAGAAAGTGTTGTAGATTATTCTTTCATTCATCATGCAGTGCAAATAGCTATTTTTCTTTCAACGCCTAGGCACGCTTAATCTACGCCTAAACAAGCGAAACACTAAACAAAGTTTCAACGCGCACCTTACATCTAACGCCTTCTTAAACCTTGGTTATCCACAAACTACGAACCAAACTTCCATCCTCGTCCTAATGCTAAATTGCTAATGATAGAAATCGTCTTAACAATAAATCGCACAGAAAGGCCCTATATTTGGCACATTTCGGCGGGTCGACATGCCTTTTTGCCTACACCATTCATTTCAAGCGCGAATTCGACGACAACAGCCACCAGTCTAATAATATTCGAATCCGGAGCTTGACATCAATTCTAGATTTCATTAGCTCTGAAAATGGAGGGATTGGTCTCCATGAAATCCAGTGCTTCCTCCCACCCCGCCGCCATCGGGTCTCTTCCCCGCCGACCCACCTTCTCAATCCGCCGTTCCCAGGTCACTCTCCCCAGAGTCAAACGCTTCTCCGCCGCCGCTGCCTCCATTCGAGCTCAACAGGTGAGTACTGAGTACCCATCTAGCTAAATCAAGGGTTCACTGAAATTTGGTTTAGGACGAGAGTCATTTGTCCGCTAAAGTTGAGTTCTTGGGTAGCCGTTTCTCCATCGGCCCATTTCAGACGCGATTAGGTTTTTGTTTATTTGTAACATTCATGGGGGTAATTTGTGCAGCCTGACACGATGGATGCATCGTCGGCGGCGAGGGAAGAGCCTGAGATTGTTCTGAAAGCGAAAGAATGGGAAGTTGGGATGCTTCAAAACGAGTTGGCGGAAAGCCAAGGGATTAGGATCAGGAGACAGCCACCGACCGGGCCACCATTGCACTACGTCGGTCCCTTTGAGTTCAGGATTCAGAATGAAGGCAACACTCCCAGGAACATTCTGGAGGAGATTGTGTGGCACAAAGACAATGAAGTCCATCAAGTACATTGAAACATGTTGCACCTGGAGTTGATTGTGTTTTTTTTATGGGGTTGTTTGCTATTGGGTTTTGTGCTTTAGCTTGGTTGTTGTTTTTCCACAGTTGAAACAGTGGAAGCCCATCTACACTCTAAAGAAAGCTATGGAAGATGCTCTTCCAACCAGGGATTTTGTCGGAGCACTGAGAGAAGCTAACCGTCGAACTGGGCTTCCGGGTTTGATTGCGGAAGTGAAGAAGGCTTCTCCTAGTAGAGGAGTCCTTCGAGAGAATTTTGATCCTGTAAGTACCCAATGTTGTATTTTGCTATGCTGTTAATCAGTTGAAATTGAATAGCTTTGTTATGTTTAGCAATACTGCACATTTGTCGCGGAAATTGACATTTTCTGTATGAAAGTTTGGAGTTTGATCTGAAACCGTTGAATCTGGTAAATTGGGTGGCTTGATTTTATGTTTCGACTAGTTAGCCATGCTGGCATTCTTATGAATTCTTTTGTGTTTGAAGTTGATTTGACACCCTTGAATTGCTATGCTATTTACTCTGTTGAAATTGAGTAGTTTGCTCATATGCCTGAACCAATTAGCCATACCGTTATTTTGTCCTGATTCGGTGAGGCTTGAAGTTGATTTTGACACACTTGAATGTGATGTGCTATTTTATTTGATGAAATTTATTAGATTGCTTAACAAATCTTGAAATGTTCTGAACAGGTGGAAGTTGCTCAATCTTATGAAAAAGGTGGAGCTGCATGTCTCAGTGTCTTGACAGATGCTAAGTACTTTCAGGTGACAGACATGTACACCTTGTTCATCATCGTTCAATCTCGGTAGTGATATTTTGGTTACTCTAACTTTACTCTGGCTGTATTAAAGGGGAGTTTTGAAAACTTGGAGGCAATTAGGAAAGCTGGAGTTAAGGTCTGGTATTTGTGATATTTCTTCCTGGATCCACATATAAGTACTTGGATCTCCAAATAAAAAATGATGAGAATTTCAACGTAAAAATCGTGCAGTGCCCTCTGCTGTGCAAAGAATTCATTGTAGACGCGTGGCAGATCTATTACGCGAGAACTAAAGGAGCAGATGCCATTCTTCTAATAGCTGCAATTTTGCCTGATCTGGACATTAAGTATATGATTAAGATCTGCAAGGTGCTTGGTTTGGCGGCACTCGTTGAGGTACGATGTTGCTTCTCTTTTTTGCCATAATAATGATCTTCCGCTTGGTTGACTTGTAATCGACATTAGTGATTAACTTGTAATCGCTATTTAACAAAATGGTTGATCGAGCATTCATCAGTTGCTCTCAGTTTTGAATCTTCTGCCTAATTAACAGTTCATAACACCTTGTGGTGAATGTAACTTGTGTGATTTTGTACTTACAATTTGACATTGTGGGAGATATGGAAGCTAAGTTTAAACGCAACTAGATACTGCACCTTGGTTTAAAGCACCAACCAAAAGCTAAAACCCGATTGGTTGACCAACTAGTAGAAAGGCAATATGAAGTATAATTGATCTTCCCTCTGCCTGAAGACCTAGTCTATGATCATTTAAAATAGTGAGAAGCTTAAGTCCAATAGGAAAATAAAAAACTAATAAACCTAAAGCTACAGTGCCAGGATGCTTTAATTGGCATTTCGTAAGTGCATTGATGTTCAGTTATTTTTGCTTCTCGATAGGTCCACGACGAGAGGGAAATGGACCGTGTTATTGGAATAGAAGGCGTTGAGCTTATTGGCATCAATAACCGTAATCTTGGTACGAGTTGTTTCGTATGCATTCATTGCCATTTCTTGAATTTGACTCTGCACCGCAATATTTGCAGCTACTCTTATATTTTGTACATGCTGCCGATAAATAAACATTCTTACTTTCTGCTTCATATCTCCAGAAACATTTGAAGTTGATATCAGCAACACCAAGAAGCTTCTTGAAGGAGAGCGAGGCAAACTCATCCGCGAGAAAGGCATAATCGTGAGTTGACTTTCAGACCGTTGTTCATATCCGTTATTTATCGTGATTGAAACTTGACTGTCATCTTCCATTATTCGTAAACGTAACTTCTGCAGGTAGTTGGCGAATCTGGGCTTTTCACTCCTGAACACATCGCTTATGTGCAAGAAGCTGGTGTTGGAGCGGTAAGCTTCTCTAACCTTGCATTTCTCCGTTGATAGTACCCTCCCTTTAGCTCTTCAAAAGATGGTCTGAAGTGTGGGCATGGCGAACGTGTTGGGTTGGCTCAGTTTTAGGCAGTGGAGTCATTGAAGTCGGGTGATTTCAAATTGTGGGTCATTATGGGTCGGGTTATTTCGGATTAGAGGTTTCTATAGGATTATTTTCAGTTAGAAGCTTTGGTAATCAAATTCAAATTCTCTTAACACCAAGAATGTAGGCCTAAGAAATTGGTAGGGTCAGGTGGTTTTGAGACGTGTCATTTCGGCATATAGTAAGTTCTAGTTCTGGGTATCTGGGGAAGGATTACTTTTGAGTGATGAGGTATCGAGTTGGCTACGATTCGGTCTAGGTTGGACGGAATGTAGTTTTATCTGGTTGATTTTCAAATTCAGTACTATCTTTTGGGTTTTGATTCTACGGATCCTCTTAATTACAATGCAAAAGTGGTTCAAATCGAGACCAGTCCGGACAAGTCAGATTGACTGTACTTTTGATCTGATTTCTATCCTCGAAATTTCTTTTATTTTTACCTGATCCTATGCTCGTTCGTCTCACTGCCTGCATCTCTGTCCTCTAGTAATCATACGTCTAACCATTTTCAAACAAATGACCAGGTTCTTGTTGGAGAATCGCTGGTGAAACAAAGCGACCCAGGCCAGGCAATCTCTGGTCTCTTTGGCAGAGATATCTCGTCGTAACTTGGGGGTTAAAGAAAATCAAGCAACAAAGTTTTGTAGAGCAGCAGCAGCAACAAAGATGAATATAACTATAGAGCTGCTTTCCTTGAGTGTACTTTTTCTGTCATTTGCCCCCTTTTTATCATATGCTCAGGTTTAATGTTTATTCTGTTTGTGCTTCTTCCTTTTCTTCTTGATTATGGCACAGCAAACCTCTATGGAAGTGGTTTCGTGGATTAAATTTTGGATTAGTTCCTTGACTATCTACATCTACATCTCTATACATATAATTATAGTGATTCTTATTTTCGTTATTGGGCTTAAGTTATCTTTATAAAATAAAAATGTCAATATTGGGATTTGAACTCTAATTACTTAAAAGTTAAAAGAAAAAGATCATTACAACCAACTAGAAACTCAAGTAACACTTATTCAAATATTAAATTGTATATGTTCTATCAAAATATTAAATTGTATATGTGATTTAGTTTAGACAAAATACATACGTATGTATGATCAAAATAAGGGCCTTTTCTGACAAATATAAAGATAATTGGACGGTGGACCTTCCTAGAATAAACCTTTGCAGAGAAACTATTTGAAGCATGAACCTTCCTATTGGCCAAATCAATTTATAAGGATAAATTGTGACTTGAGACTTTCAGTATTTTTATTTTACTTAACTTACACACACACAAAAAAATATTTTTTAAGCAAAAAAAGGAAAGCTAAGATACACAAATGACAAATGAATGGTCACATGACCTCCATCCAACCCTTTTTACCTTTGTTTTTCACTTTTTCGTTTCTCATCGTCGAACAAAATCCAAACATATGTTGACTATTATATAATAGCATATTGGAGTTCAATAAAATATATGAAAATGCTCTTTCGACGGGTAATGATGAAGACAGAATTGAATGTTCCAAACGATGACCGAATCGATGCCAACAAAACCCAAAACATGAAGCAAATTGCATGAGCACCATTCAATACATATTAACATCTCACTAAATTATTCATGAATACCCTTGAACCCAAATTTCCTGAAATTATTATATCCCTTCACCATGATTCAATTTATTCATTTTGATATTACAAGACTTTAGTGGAGCAAAGTCATTTATAGATGTTGAGATTTGCACCCCGTGTTAATTAAAGGGTGGGAGGAAGAGAGAGACGAGGGTTGTAACGAGGAAGTAGCAGTGAACCAACCAAATCCAAATTCCAACTTCTATATAGGGTTTGGAATCTCCAAACACCCGCTCAATTGGAGCAACGAAAGAAAAAAAAAAATTTTTTGACAAAAGATAATCATTAATGGATAGAAACCAATCGATAGTTACATCCTGGAAGCCAGCCAGGTCTGGAAATCAAAATAACGACACGTAGTCGGGAATAAAGATAGGGCCTGTCTAGCTACCAAATGAGCTACCCTATTGTCACCCCGACCTACAAATCGCACATTAAAGCCCGGATTTACCCTGAAAATCTGAATTAGGGGAATGAAAATGAAATATGTGAATTGGGTGGCCCACTATATGAGTCAGCGGTTATGTTGAGCTGAGATGCCAACGTGGATTGGAAAAAAATTCAATTTGGTATCCACTATTAATTTTAGTGACGGAAAATGTAACAATACAACTAATAACTGAGTTATGTGGTTTAGTTGCAACTAAAAAGAATTAAGTGGTCAGTATGCAACCAAAGCAATACTTATATGGTATGTGTTGCATTTAACCCTCCGAAACTACAATTTTGCTCCTGCTGCACGCTGTCAAACAACTAGCGTTCCTCTCGGTGACGAACCCGAGGAAGAAGCAACCACGAAGAGTCACCGAGGGAGAGGTTCGTCGTTCAGTCGGGGAGCCCTAACGACGGCAACATTTCCATTAGGTGCCGGGCTCGACTCTCTGAATCGAGTCAAGAGGGAATGCGATTTCGTTGGGTGCCGGGCTGGTTGCCAAGCCAAAAGGCCTGACTGGTTCGCCGGCTTCTTGTGCTAGAAGAGTAATCGAGAGCCATTCACACCACAAGCGAACCGCCACGCGAATCGATGTCTGCCCCGCCGCTTAATTCCGCCGGCGGATACAACCTCGAGTTCCACGCTCCTTCCGACGACGCCTGGTACAGCGTCCGCGCGATTTTCAATGGGAAAAAGAAGGAGTTGACGGTGAAGTTCGAGAACTTCGGCGACGGAGAAGACTTGGTTTTCAAGCCGGACAGGTTTGTCACTGCCTGTGACCTCGAGGAGTTCGAAGCTCGATTCAGGCCTGTTTCTCATCAGCTGCAAGACTGGGAGTGCCGGGAGGCTAAGAAAGGAATGCTGGTCTGCGTTTCTCACTCCGCCGACGGCTTGGACAACCGCTTCTACGACGCCACCATTGAAGAGGTTCTTTATCGTTTTCTTTCAGTTTTCCCTCTCCGTCTCCTTGTAACCCTAGTTTCCGTTGGGAACACCATTTCGATTCAAAAACTCAGAATGGATGAGTAGCTGTGCTCTGATTAATCTGTGGTTTAATGTTTAGAATTTGTTCATGAATTCGGATGGTTAATCTTTAGGTGATTCATAAAGATCATTCGGTTGTCAATGGAGAAGAAGTGTGTTCATGTGCATTTGTGGTTGTTTGGAAACATGGTCCAGCTAAACATCTGCTGCACAGGAAGAAGATCGAAAGCATTTGCATTGTTCAATCTGTTTCAGAGCTTGATCCTGCGGTAGCCAGTTTCTTGGAGGTAGCTAGACAGGAGATTGAAGGTGGTGCTTGTTTCAAAGCTCCTCCTTTTTCCACCCATGAATTTTCTCCTGGGGTAAGCTCTTCTACCATTGCCGAAACAATTTCCCGAACATTGGATTTGATTGATTCTTATTAAGATTAGTTGTTGATGGGATTTACTGTTTCTCAGGAAAGAAAGGGAAGCCAGAGGTCTGCTAGTGGAATGTGGTTCATGCAAGGTTTGGTAACATTTGAGACCAGCCAGAAATTAACTTGTTGTGATTTTGATTAACTTTTATCTACGTGGGTTCATTGGCTTTTAAATGACCTTAACGCGTGTACGATTCTGTAATGTCATGTTTGCTCATTGTTAACTCAATGGGCATGTCATTAACTTGAAATGGGTTCTTACATCTTAGCACATTTTGTCGATAATACTAGGTGATGACGAATTCAAGGTTGGAACTCAAGAAGGGCTGGATGTTGGTGAACTCCCATTGCTAGGTATTGGTTGTTTATACCCTCTACAAGCTTTAGACTTTCAAGGTTGTTTAGTTGGACTCGTTTTGAAAAGAGAGCTTGGTGCATGTGTTTAAGGCTACCTCATTCCATTTAATTTCCTAGTGAATCAATGTTAGCGGGTGATTTGAGCATACAACTCTATCGGTAGTCACCAAGAAAGTTCTACGAGAGTAGTAGGTTGTGAGAATCAAACCCGTAAGCACATTGTTCCAATCCTCTTACCACCAAGACCACCACTTGGTGGGTGAAGTTATTGTGACTTAATTTCAAGTGTAAGGGTGTCTCTAGTTAGACTTGGGGGTAGTTTGGATGTTGGATTTGGGTGTCAGATTTATGGAAAACCAGACTTTGTTAGCAAATGAGATTAAGTGAGTGCAAAATTTGTGGAAGGTGACAAAGTTTGTGTTTTTACCATCCCTGATTCAAAACCATTGGAAGAAAATTGCGAATTTCACTCATTACCATGCATTCAACTTATGTTGTAATTTAGTTCCTTGACTTATAACACGTCACTTTGAAGTAAAAACAAATGACTTCATTGCTTATCATGTTCTTCTTTTCATGTTCCTCTCCTTGGCATTGGCTTTTTTGGAGACAGAAACTAGCGATGATGATGATCCTCATATGGGAGGGCGCTATGCTCTCCTTGTTGACAATCTGGAGAAAGGAATATCCCCTTCAGAAATAGTGCAATTTATACACAGGGAAACATCAGTTCTTGTTGAAGCACATATTTCCTCAAGTTTCTTTTATGAAACATGTACAAAGGCTGCAATCGTGGTGGACTCTAAGCGAAACTTTCATGAAGTGTGCAACTTACTAGATAGTCCTGATCATTTGGTGATCTCTCAAACCGGGAGGTAACATGAGATGTAGGCGCTGTTTTATTTTCGATTCTTAGAATGCATATATTTTGTTTTTGAGAATTATAACGAGGATGTTTCTGTTAGAAACAGGGAGATCCTATAAGTTTGTTTGATTAGCAATCGTTAATGTGTGAGTTTTTCCAGGTATTGAGTGCATAATTATGTTATACATGCATGCCCCTCTACTTTGCAACACTTTTGAATGTGTACATCCTTATCTTTTGAACTTTAATGCCGTTCTGCTATGTAATCTTTATAACCATGTCCTTTCTGTCAAATTTTCCATTCTCTCCTTTTGGATCCCACAATAGCTGACTCTGTTAAGTTTGAGATGAAAGATTAAAACTCTCCCTGGTGATTGGAATTACTGTGGTCAGATGGGAAACTTCTCAAGTTTTCATGGTGGAAGTGAGATGATTTAGCTACTGTGGACCCCAAGTAATGGAGAGTTATCGTCAAACTGGACAGAAGAGCATTCCTACTGAGATGTAAAGCTAAAAATAAATATGAAAGAAAAACTATTATGTGGAAAGTTTGAAATCTTTCCACAGTAAGGGAGGATGAAATCGCTTTTGTCGTTAGCCCCTGAAACAGCGATTTATAAGCAAATGCATGCATTCTCATAACTATCCTGCATTTTAGTTCTTTCTTCCTGCGGTTGTGCTGAGAGGGTTATTTGTTCTTTCAGGCCCTTGGTGATAACTGAGAAGAGTTTGCCACTTAGTACGTATAGGATAACAACCCAGACGAATTACACACAGGTAAGTTATCAGTTGGGAATAGGCGCTCACTATGAGTTTGCAAAGTGTAAGTGATGCTTGGCCTCGCTGCTCTGAAGTTTTGGTGGGTCTAACCCCTTTGGAAGTGTTTTTCTTTGCATCTTACTTTATACCTTTTCCTTGAGTAGGAACTTGAACAGTGTCGGTAGTGACGATTTTGTAAGTTTGCATATTGGCAGATCAGAAAGTGGTTGCATGGAAGTAAAGAGCAGGAAAAACATGTGCTCAGAATAGCGACACCTGCATTAGAAGAATACAGAAGAGCAAAGCAGCTCAAAGATTTGTTAACGGAGTTCGCAAGTCACCAGAAGTGCCTCTTTCAGACATTATCTAAGAAAGAGAACGAGATCAAGCAGCATTTTTCCTCTGCAATGTAACTGTTTTGACTCATATGGAAGCACTTCAGGTTGAGGTAAGTAGACAGAAACACCATAGTTTCTCTCATTTTGTTAGGGTGGTTTTGAGTTGCTGTTGATATAGTACCCAAGTGTATAGGGTAGGGATGCCCTTTATAGGCACATTCTCATATGATCGTCGTGTAGAAATGTTCTTTTCATCCCAAGGCTCTTTCTGCTCTTGTCAAATATGATCCTCGATATTTTGAACACTTTGTCTTAGAGAAACTAATTCCTTCAACACTCTCATCCGATCTATGCTTGCGTCATGGTGCAACTTTAGCCGCCGGGGAAGTTGCACTAGCCCTGCATCAATGTCAATATACTCTAACGACAGGTTGGTGATCTGACTTGTCTGATAAGAAGTTGTATCTTACAAGAGATTCATTCCTTCAGAATTTAAATGACCTTATATCATCAAAATATCCGAGCAATTAGGTGGGATGTTTGTTTCAAAGCTCAAAGCAGTTGTATTTTCAAGGGCCCTTTAGTTTTTAATATGATGGGTATGGAATGTTCTTTCCTGAAGAAATGCATATTCAATATCAAGTGGAGATATGGAACTGATATGCTTTATTCAGACACAATGATGAACATGATTCTTACCTTGAGACTTAAAAGCTGCCTAATGGAAATAGTTGTATTTTCTCCTGCCCTTCTTTAGTTTTTAATATGATGGGTATGAAATGTTCTTTTCCTGAAGAAATGCATATTCAATATCAAGTGGAGATATGGAACTGAAATGCTTGATTCAGACACAATGATGAACATGATTCTTACCTTGAGACTTAATAGCTGCCTAATAGAAATAGTTGAATAGACTACTAATATGTGTTACATCTTATGTGTTGGGCGTAGTCGCATAATTGAGTTCCTTCACTTGGAGCTTATCAAATGTCAACAAGTGGAGGACCAATTTTTTTTAAGAAAGAGGGAAGGTTAGGGAGGCAATTGGTGTTCTGTCAATCAACGATGTCGAGGTGGATGAACCTTCTACAAGTTACAAGTGATCTTCTCTTTGCGGGTTGAATTTAGAATGTGCAACTAGAGAAAATCAACATCGACTTACTTAGGACTAGATAGAAGTACACTCGAGTAATCTTCCCTCAATTAAATTCGAATCATTCTTGTTTTGCTTTACACTTTTAGTTGGTTAATCAAAACTACATCATATTAGCTATATCCACTAGTTCACTTAATCAAAACTACATCATATTATCTGTATCGACTAGTTCATCAAGCAGTAATAAACTTAGCAAACGGGTTGATAGATTAAACTTAATTGCATTACCAATCAGTCAGTGAAGTCACTAGCTCCTGTCACTAGAAATCTCTGAGGCCCAGAATAAAGGAAACACACAGGATTACATGATAAGGCGTCGGAGACCATGAGAATACCAAAATTTTAGATAACGGCAATCGGCAGTGAACTTCCTGGCTTTGCACGCTGGAAATTGCCTAGTCCTGTTAGCGTCTCCCTTCTCCCACCAACAACAAATCACCACCAAAGCTTACAAGTGAATAACAGGACTACACCACCCATTTCCAGTCTAAGGTCTATTAGAAACCAGATGATTCGACCAGCGACGAATACGAGGCATCCTCATCCTCGTTTGATCTCGGCTTTTCGCCACGTGTCTTTCTAGATGCCCGATTCCCAAGCTTGAGTTCTCCAAGTTCCAGACCAGCCATTTTCCACAGCTCCACCAACTGCTTCCTTGCGCCATCCACATCCCCATCCCAGCATGTTTCAGAAATGATTTCCACCGCTCCTTCCATCTTTTCCTCCGGCACCAGATCAGAGTTTTGCAGGAGAACAAGATACAGCTGTTCCGCACAAGCCTTCCTTATCTGAGATTCACAAGAGTGGAGAGGGCAAAAATGCCTAGAGATAATAAATAAACGCAACGAGAGAAATGCTTATATCAACTATTTGCAATAAACTAAGAGGAGGCCGACCTTGGGATATCGATGGCTAAGGAAAGTTAAAAGATGTTTGAAGGCCCCAATATTTGTGGGTTCTGATGTCGAAGCAATGTAGCCTAGTATGGCAATCCCAGCATATAGCTTCCCAAAGTCCTTCGACACCTTCAATTCCACGACAAGACACTCCAACACGCCGGCAAAAAAGCTTCGACCATCTGCCTGTTAAATCAAATACAAGATATAATCAACAGAGTCAAAAAGCCATGAAAGAGTTTGTGCAGTGAGAAAAAAGCGATTTCTTTCACCTCCATGTCGAAGAAAATCTTGCTGCTGAAGAGGATTTCAATTGTCTGAAAACAGAACAAGAAGCCTCAAGTTATTTCAATACAAGATCAGTAAACTCACATATTACAGAAAACGGTACAAAAGACTCCACTCTTAGACCTTCTCATTAAACAAAAGTAACTAAATGTTACCATTTACCTTCAGAGTCGGCACGATCACTCTGTCACATCTCTTGTACTGTTGAAGAACCCAAAGGATGTCACTACTAAGCATTTTCTCTCTTGACTTTCTCTTCTGATGCTCCACTTCAGTTGAGTCTGCCACTTGAAGGAAATCCAGCAATGCCCCAACCGATGCCTTCCTCAAAGAGTCTTGCAAACCACCCGCTGAAATCACTAAACCAGATACCACAAATCGGCTGTAGCTGCTAAGCTGGAGCAACTCCACAAATCGTGGATATGAAAAGTTCGGTACCTGCAGCAAAAGGGCGGCACAGGTCCTTTGTCAGTAAACCTTAAATTGTAGAGAAAGCAAAAGGGAAACAAATATGGCACCACCTACCCCCCACTTTGTCTCTGATTCGTCTGGAATAATTTTCTCTAGCTTTTCCCTGTACGGTATGAATGGGACAAACGGCTTTGTGTTGTATAAAATCCTTTGAAGAACCTTTGCAGCAGCTTCTCTTAGTTTATCCATCTTTTCTACAGCTTGCTTGACAATTCCTCCAATTACACTAGTAGCGAGTTTTTCATCAAAAAATGGAAGGATTTCTGATCCAGATTCCCTGGTATTTGATTTAATAGTGGAATCCACAGAAGACAGGATATATGTACACTCCTCAAGACCTTCCATGGCAGCCTCACGGACCCAAGAACCCACATCGCCTCTATTGTCAACAGAATAATCATCAAGAGCTCTAAGTAAACTCGTCATTACTTCATTCTTCATCAAGTGATAGAGGGATAAGCAACAATCCTGTTCAGACAACAACATTGCTGGAAGTTTACTGGCTTGATTTAAGGTCTTGCACACTAATACAAGTCCTTTGACCGCATTTACTCGTGCTTCAGCATCTCTGTCCTCAGGGTTATCCTGTATACAGTAAATTAACCAGTTAGTTTGGAGCCCTGAAATCAAGAGTATCCAAACAAGGCCTCTCCATCAAAGTGCACCTCAATTGCAGAAGATTTGCAGAGCTTCAAAATCACATCCTTCCACCTGTCAGCCAAAATTTCATACGGCAAAACACCTAATGCCATGGCAGACCCTCTTCTTACTGCAACATTGGGGTCTGTCAACTGTTGAAGGTACTTTGACACTATGGTGCTGCTTGTTCCTACACTGCTTGCAGCCACTAAATAAGCTCGAACAAAATGGTCCAGTGCTTTAACAGCAGCGCTCTGTTTCCATCGTGATATACAAAAACAAGAAGTTCAGAAAGAATCAAACAACGGCTCTGTGATACCTATGAACAAGCACTAGCTATTAAGGAAGCAAATGCAATACCTATAAATAAACATCACCTGTATTTGACTATTAGGATGTCTCAAATTCTCTGTAAGAGTGTCAAGCAAACTTTGTCTAATCTTATTGGGTATCGCCACACCAGACAAAGAGATGCATTCGATAAACCGAGACACAGCAGAACGCATTATCTCTCCGCCCTTCCCTCGATAGAGACGTGCTTTCTCAATAGCAGAAACAAGTCCAGCAAGTTGTTTCTGTTTATCTACCAAAGTTAAAGGGGACAGGTAATAAGTTGTTGACATTTGATAAGCTCCAGTGAAGGAACTCAATTATGCGACTACGCCCAACACATAAGATGTAACACATTAGTAGTCTATACAACTATTTCTATTAGGCAGCTATTAAGTCTCAAGGTAAGAATCATGTTCATCATTGTGTCTGAATCAAGCATTTCAGTTCCATATCTCCACTTGATATTGAATATGCATTTCTTCAGGAAAGAACATTTCATACCCATCATATTAAAAACTAAAGAAGGGCAGTAGAAAATACAACTATTTCCATTAGGCAGCTTTTAAGTCTCAAGGTAAGAATCATGTTCATCATTGTGTCTGAATAAAGCATATCAGTTCCTCCAATTGATATTGAATATGCATTTCTTCAGGAAAGAACATTCCATACCCATCATATTAAAAACTTAAGGGCCATTGAAAATACAACTGCTTTGAGCTTTGAAACAAACATCCCACATAATTGCTCGGATATTTTGATGATATAAGGTCATTTAAATTCTGAAGGAATGAATCTCTTGTAAGATACAACTTCTTATCAGACAAGTCAGATCACCAACCTGTCGTTAGAGTATATTGACATTGATGCAGGGCTAGTGCAACTTCCCCGGCGGCTAAAATTGCACCATGACGCAAGCATAGATCGGATGAGAGTGTTGAAGGAATTAGTTTCTCTAAGACAAAGTGTTCAAAATATCGAGGATCATATTTGACAAGAGCAGAAAGAGCCTCGGAAGCAAGTTCTCTCAAGCCTTTATCCTACAGAGATCAACCATGAGTAAGTACCGTATTACAACAACCAAAAGATACAAAATGCAAACCAACATACTTGCACAGGCAGCGAACATATTTCACACCACATTTAGAAGCCTATTGACAGTACATATCCACAACCAATGTGCATGAACTTTGACATGCATATCACCAAGGGCCGAACTTATACTCCACTGCAAAGCAATCATGACAGCAACTACTTCCACTGGAAGATAAATGAAAACAAAAGCAGACATTGTTAGTGTTTTGGACCTTACCCAGTGGCCTATCTTGTTATCCAGAAGTTCTTCTGCAAATGGATACACATATCCATCATATTCAGCAATATGGACGGCCACATGAAGATAAGAGTTAATTCGCGAGGAAAGTGAAAAATAATCTGCCGAATTGACAATGTCAATGCCATGAAGATAATTCCCTTGTCTTCCTACGTTTTCCTGGAAAGCAGCTGCAGCTGCTCTTCTGCAATTCACCTGATGAATACAAATATAAGTTTCCTTCATGCAAACGCAACTGATAAAATGCTTCTCAGGTAAAGATTATTGCAAGAAATAGAGAAAACAGAGTCATAAATTCATTATCACCTCCCGATCATAGCAGGCCACTGTTAAGAGGTGCGGAGCAAGCTTCTCCAGTACACATTTCATGTCAGAATGATAATATGCACGACCAAAGGCCCAACAAACATATGCTGCAGCGTCACGTACATGGGATCCAACACTATGTGGGCCTCTTCGAACATCATAATGTAAGGCCTGTTGAAGGAAATATATCATAGTCAATGTTAAAGAGCTTTTGCCACCAGTTTTGAAAAAATGATCAAAGTCGGAGTCAAATACTGACTTTATCCATGAAAGAAAAAGCTAAATAAAATTAGAATACGCAATTTCACCCAGCCTGATATATTAGATTAAGAAAACTAGTTAAACTATGAAAAGAAACAAAATAGTAGGTCATACAGCCCCTAGCTGACATGGATGGTCATGAAAGTACAAGTAAGTCATCTCTTATCCTTCCAACCATGCAATATTTGTTTTAAGAAAGGGTCAGGACATTGAGGTGAAACGTCAGAAGTCGAGTTAGCAATAAGTCATAAAGTAACCTATAACCACTCTCCCTCGAGTTCAGAGATGTACCATAAAGAGCACATGAACAAAACCAGGTGTCATAGCATGTTGAACACTCTCAGATTATCTTCCAGATGTTAGAAAACCACAAAAATTACATAACTAATGCAGTGTGCTTAGTTGCAAAGTTTCACAGCTGATTTGGCTAAAATGTGAATAAGGACAGAACTTGAACATGATATGTGAAT